CAAAGCCCCAGTAGATAGTTGTATGTCACAGTTGCACATCCTTCTAGTTGCTGTATGTGGGACGCGGCCTCAGCATGGCCGGAGAAGCAGTGCGTTGGTGCGCGCCCGGGATCCGAACCCGGGCCGCCAGAAGAGCGTGCGCACTTAACCGCTAAGCCACGGGGCAGGCCCCATGTACCAGTTTTTAAAAACCATTTCACATGTCGCAAGCCATGACAGAAAAGGCACTAGAAAAAATAATCCCACCAAGAAGATGCTGTGTGGGAACAGGCTTGGAGAAGCAGAAGGATTTTGCAAACATGTGATAATTTTTCTTCCTCTTCTGCCAAGGCCCCAGGGTCACACCAGACCCCCTTAAAGGAGCCCAGAGTTTGATGTGTACAGTCCAGCACCAGGGCCTTCTTTCCGGGGGCAGCTGGAGCTTTCTGTGGCCCAGAAGTGTCATTGTAACCAGGGCCTGGCTGTTCCTCTTACAATATGGTTACAAATATGTATTTTAGCTTATTTTTATTGACTAGTTTTTTTTTTAATCGAGCAGTAATCTACAATGTAATTGGCAAAAGGGGATTCAGGAAGATATACAGAGCTGATGAGCAGGATGCTCTGAAACGACCCCTCTGTGGTCCTGGCCCCTCTTCACTGGCCCAGAGGTGACCTCTGATTGTGGGACTTCAAGAGATTCAAGAGTATAATTCCCCAGCCCATACACTCACATGCACACACACCCTCCCCACACCCTGTAGAGGTGTGTGTGTAGATAACACCTGATGGGTTGATTTTGAAAATGCAACTCTCAGGGAAGTTTTATTTCCTGTCTTTGAGGTGGGAGGCCTTACAGCCTGCCTCCTCCTCCTCCTCCTCCTCTTCCTCCTAACCTCCCCCACCCCCACCCCAACCAGGGCAGTCACAGCCTTGGCTGTGTGTAGTGACTGCAGGTCCTGAGCTGGACCCTTGACCTAGGGCAGATGAACGGGAAACCTCAGCCCTGCTCAGCATGCAGCATAGGGCCTGGCACAGCACATAAGCTGGGCAAAATATTGAGAGAAGGAAAAGTCACGATCCCCACCCTCACCCCCCCCCGTCAGGTGGGATTGGGGTCTTCCCATCGGCTTCCTCCACATGTCCGTCCCCGCCCACCCAACCCCCCGCCGTTAGGCCCTTCCCTCTGCCACTCCTGAGGCTGCAGTGGGTTGGGGCTGCACGGTTAGGGGCGCAAGGCCACAGCTCCTTCCTTCCCAAGCTGCGCCCCGCCCAGCCAGAGGCCACCTCTTCCCTGGGAAGATGGGATGCAAAAGCTGCTTACCGCCCCCTCCATTTTGGGCTCGGCCTTCTGAAAGCGGGCTCACTGGAAGGTGATTAGATAATTAGAAGATGCTCAGTTTAAACTAGTGACAAATTCGTCCTCCCTGATCATCAAAGAAACACCAATTAAACACTATGATACCATTGGCACCACATTAGCCAAACCATCAATGAGCATGAGATGCTTCCATAACTGGGTTCTGAGGTTGCCGACACCCTCCTTGGCCCCCACTGCCAAAACTCATGCCTAGGCCAACCATTAAAGCCTGCTCTGGGGCTGCCGAATAAAATCGGATCCCTTGGGTCACATCTAACCTGGGGCCCCCGGAAGCGCTCATCAGTTGCGCGTCGGCCCCCACCGCCGGTCCACCTCCTGAGCTGGGAGCTCCGCGTGGGAATTACGCTTTGGGGCGGCTCCGCGCTGCCAGTCGCAGGGGCAGGGAGGCTGCGGGAGCAGAGGCGCCTGGGGCGAATCTCGGCTCCACCACTTGCCCAATCGTGTGACCTTGAACAAGTTAATGAACTTCTCCACGCCTGAATGCCCGGGTCTGTGAGGTGGAGTGGCGAACGCAGACCGTACAACGCAGCTGTGTTTGGCAAACTCCTGGAGTGGAGCCTCTCACAGTGCCTACTGGTGGTGGTAAGTGATGTTAAACCTGCGGGGAGTCCCTCTGAGGCCACCCTAGGGGGTTGCTGCTTCCTCTGGGGCCCTCCCCGCTTGGGTTGTTCAGCTCCAAACCACATCTTGAGAAGCGGAATTTGGGAAGCCAGGATCCTCGAGCCCTGGCTAGGGGGTAGTGGGGGGCGTGGGAGAAACCCCAATTCTTCCGCCCCCCCAGCAAAGCCTGGAACTGGGCGGGGCCAGGCTGCTCCAGCCTCCGCGCCTTTCACCCCTCGGGCCACGCCCTCGGTCCCGCCTTCTTCCAACCCGCGCCCCCATTGGTGGCGTCCGGCGGCGCGGCCGCTGTTATTTTTCGAATATATAAGGAGGTGGAGGTGGCAGCTGCTGCTAGAGGCTTCCTGGACTGGTGGCTGGTCCCCGCGTCCCTCCATCCCTCCCCACCCTCCCCGCTTCCCTCTCCTTCCTCCCTCGCTCCGGCCCCGTTGCTCTTCCTCCCTCCCTGCCCCCTCCATCCCGTGCACCTCGTCCCGGCCAGCTGTGCCCGGCGTTTGTCGGTCGCCCTGCCCCGGCCCTCCGGCCAGCCTTCTGCGGTCCCCGCCGCGATGGAGCTGCCCCAGCCGGACCCCGCGCCTGGCTCGGCTCTCAGTCCGGCCGGCATGCGCGGTGGCGCCGAGCGTCCGGGCCTCCGGCCGGGAGCTCATGGCCTCTTGGGGTCCCCGGAGCGCGCGGCTGCTTCCTCGCCGGTCACCACCCTCACCCAGACCATGCACAACCTCGCCGGGCTTGGCAGGTAGGGTGCCCCAAGGAGCTGGATGTGGGGTGAGAGGCCCGCACTAGGGTGTTGGTCCCGGGCCTCCTGGGGAACCCGGCATGGGAACGAATCCGAGAGGCGGAGTGAGGAGGTGTCCCGGGCAGAGCCTGCTTCAGGGGCCCGGGACAAGGGCAAGGAGGCCAGGGCTGTGCTGCTGACCCCCTCCAGGTGACTTGCTCTTGGCCAGCGCCATCCTCTGGAGACCCTCTTTTCTCCCTCCTCCCTCAGTGTGCCTCCACCACGCTGTCTCCCTAGTCTCTGCCCAAATTAATACCATTTTGCCCCAGGTAGGGGATCCTGAGCCTGGAGGGGTAACTTGGCAGAGCAGTCGGGTTCCATATGTCCCTGTCCCTGCTCCCTCCACCCAGTTCTTCCTTGGGATTAAGGGATTAAATGCTGGTCCTGCTCGCTGACCAAGCCTGCAGGGTCCAGGCCAGGTTGTCCTCGCAGCAATAGAGACCAAGTCTTGGCTCTTCCTCCAGAAAGGCTTGTGGATGGGTAGGGGCGTGAAGAGTATAAGGGAAGGCCCTTCAGAGGTGGCTGGCTTGGTGGGAACAGGGGCCAGCCAGCCTTGAGCCCCACATTTACCTTTCTCCTTCCCTGGGTCCCTGCTACCTTCCCAGCGAGACCCCAAAGACCCAGGTAGGCAGCCTGCTCACACGCCTCTCCCTGTCACGGCGGCTGTCTGAGTCCTCCCTGTCGTCTGAGTCCTCTGAATCTTCTGATGCAGGTGAGGCCCAGGGGTGCCAGGGGAGTTTGGGGGGCTGCCTGAGGCTCCCCACTCCCTGCAGATCAAGCTAACATCCTTCCCACAACCTGGTGGGCGCAGGAGCCTCCCCCTGCCCACCTCTGGTGGGGCTCACCACACCCAGCCCAGGCTGCTGAATGGGAGGTTGGGTGGGGCCCTCTGCCAAGACAAGATCTTACCTATTTAAAACCCAGCGCTGAAGTTCCTGAACCACAGTCCTGCCTGGGAGGCATTAGGGCTGAAAGTTGGTCATTTTATAACATTCACTTGCCTTCGGCTATTACATTTTCCTTCAAAAATCTGTTATTTATTCTAGAACAAATTATTTTAAACCAGTTCAAGAAAAATGCTTAGCAAAGTTTTGGTTTAAAAACCTAAGTAGAGGAATTTCCATAGTAAACAGGGAGTGGAGTACTTGGGGTCCATGGGTGGGTTTTTGTTTCATTTTTTAATGTGTCAAGATCTAAAATAGAAACAGGTTTTCTCCCTTCGCTGAGTAGGGTTGGGACACGGTGGGGAAAGTGCAGGAAATGCCACCCCTTTCAGACCAAGGTGCTCTGTCCCCCAGGTCTCTGCATGGATTCTCCCAGCCCCATGGACCCCCAGATGGCGGAGCACACGTGAGTAGAGAAGAGGGAGTCCCACCACCAAGGAGCTGGCGCCCGCCTTTGGGAATCCCAGTTCTAGCATGAACTCTCTGGGGAAGCCTGGGAGAGTGCACAGACCTCTCTGCATCCCCACTGGGGGGGACTAGTTGACCTTCCCAAGTCCTGGGATTCTGCTCCCTGACTCAGAGAAGGGTCTCCTCTCACAGGAGCAGCTGAGAGTGGGCTCAGGGCTGGGGTGGTGGGGACAGTTGCCTCTGCAAGTAGCAGGTACTTGACTCCAGCCAGCCCTTGTCTTGTGGGAATAGGCCTGGTGTGTGTCCTGTTTTTCTTTCTGCCCTATACACATATTTTTTCTCTGAAATATCACAATTTTAAAATATAGTCCAGCTAATGCAAACCCTTTAATTCACTCTAAGCCAAACAAAACAGTTGCTGCGGGCTGGTTTGGCCCTCAGCCGTGCTATCTGCAACCTCTGGCTTCAGGGACACTTGACCCTCTGGCCAACCCCTGGACCAGGGCCTTTGTGAAAGGGAGTAGAGAGGGAGCTGGTGGGCTCTGCTGGGGACAGATCCCTCTCCCTTGGTTATGGGACATGAGTAGTACCTTCCAGAACACAGCTGTTGCCATCCAGCTGTTCAGCTCCTGGCAAGGAGAGCAGCTGCCAGGCAATAGTGGGGACAGCTGGGCATCCCCAGCCTGGGCTGGGAGGCCATGGCTTTGGGTTTAGGGCAGTGGTTGTCTTTCCTCCCATTGTCTTTGATCAGACTAGGCTGGGCTGTAGGGTTTGTTCGCAAACAGGAAATGGGTTGGGAGGGGGGTTTGGGTGGGGGTGCGGGGAAGTGCAGGATTGGGTTTTGGTGGCAATGCAGAGCTGTCCTTGCTTTACCCTCAAGGCCCAGGTGCAGATTGGAAACCAAGCCAATGAAATTGGTCATCCCTGATGCCAGGTTGGCTGGGCACAGCCACCCTCCCCCCACCTGGGAGCCATCCCCCTGACATTTTAGCCCTCAGTACCCCCCACATCTGCACCTGCTTTGACAGTTACACAGTTTCTCAGAAAGAAGTGTGTGTGTGTGTGTACGCATAGATGCATAAAAGCCCTGAGTGGCAGGTGGTCTGTGGTAACGTAGCTAGGGGTGTGGGGCCTATCTATAGAAGCTTGTGCCCTAGCCTCAAAAGGGACATCTGTTGGAATTCCTTGCCTGCTGTCCTCTTCTAAGGCAGAAGGAGGGGGTGGGACAGAGGCTGGGTCCTGGAAAATTCCATAGGAGGGAGGAGAGGATGTGACCCTGCACATTTGTCACTAGGGAGTTTGGCATGGCAGCCTGGGGCTGATCCAGGGGTATACTAAACCAGGCCCCTGGCCTGGGGGGAGCCAGGACAGCCCGACACAAGGGGAGGGAAGCCCAGCCTTGCTGGCATCTAGGCCCTGGAGACACCCACATTGTCCAGCCAAGGCCTGTCATCATGGGATGGATGGATGCCTTTCTTGGAGGCCATATGGCCCCGCTGAGGTGATTTGCATACAGGTGGAAGGCCTGTGGGCAGGCTAGTGAGACTGTTGCCTTGGTAACGCTTCAGCTACCCTGTGACCTGCCCCAGCTCTCTCCATCGCTGCCATTCTCTGGGCCCTCTTCCATTCAGGGCAGCCTTTAAAATCCCAGGCTGCCTCTCATCTTCCCCCTCCCCGATGCTTGGGCCCCCTGATAGTTGGTATTCTTTCTATCTCCTCTTTCCACTGGCCTGAGCCCTGGCCCCCGGGTCTTGTGGACTGGGGACCTGATGCTTGGGGTGGGTGATGGGCTGTAGAGAGAGCTGAGCTGCATGGACCCTTCTCTCTCCTAGGTTTGAACAGGCCATCCAGGCAGCCAGCCGGGTCATCCGAAAGTAAGTGCTCTGGCCTTCTTCACACAGGTTCCAGTGGTCTATCCACCACAACCTGGGTTGGGTGGTATAGGCAAGGGGGAGGATGCTCTCTCAGGCCCTCCCATAGGGGTGTACAGGGCTCTGTGGTAGAGGGGCATCCTGCACGCTCTCTGTCGTGGCCCTGGACTCTCCAGCCTTGACATGTCCCTGTTTCCATCTGCAGTGAGCAGTTTTCCATCCGACGCTTCCAGTCTTTGCCGGTGAGTGCCCTGTGAGGCCTGATAGGAGGTTCAGGCACGCTAGCCAGGATTGGGGAGGAGCAGGAGGGATCTGGGGTCGACTTCCAGAGGGTAGACTTGAAGCCATCGGGTGTCCCTGGTCTGGCTGTGGGTTATGGAGGTGGATAGATGAGCTGGGGAGTTGGAGGAGGGATGGGAGAAGGTCGGGCCTGCCTGTTGCCAGAGGAATGCAGCCTTCAGTACCTGCTGCCTCCTGGCTCCCTAGGTGAGGCTTCTGGGCCACAGTCCTGTACTACGGAACATCACCAACTCGCAAGCGCCCGGCAGCTGGAGGAAGAGCCGGGCATGCGGCCGAAGTGCCCACAGCTCTGGGGAGGACAAAGAGAATGTGCGCTTCCAGAAGGCTGGAGTGGGAGTATTCCAGGGAGAGAAGGGGGCGTGCTGGGGTGCTTCTCTGGCATTTGATGATGCCCCCCCACCCCGATCTTGCGCACAGGATGGATTTGTCTTCAAGATGCCATGGAAGCCCACACATTCCAGCCACACCCATGCTCTGGCAGAGTGGGCCAGCCGCAGAGAAGCCTTTGCCCAGAGGCCAAGCTCGGCCCCCGACCTGATGGTACTCCAGGAGAGCTGACCTTTGCAGGGCAGGCGTGCATGCAGGGCGGGTGCTCCTGAAGGCAGCCTGGGGGACGGGAGGGTGATCCTGAGCCCCAAGGCAGTGGGAACATTTTCCCAGAAGGATGAGGGGTGGGGATTGTTTCAGGTCTCCACCCCTAAGTAGCCTGTGTCTGTTTGTCACCCACACAGTGTCTCACCCCTGAGCACAAGATGGAAGTAGAGGAGCTGAGTCCCCTGGCCCGATGCTGCTTCTCCCTGACCCCCACCAAGGGGGCTACTGAGGAAGATGATGGATTCGTGGACATCCTGGAGAGTGACTTAAAGGTAAACAGCCTTGTGCCATCAGGCCCCCTACTTCTCTCTCCCTGGGATCTCCCAAAAGAGGAGAGCCCTGAGCTTCTGCAGCAAGACTATGACCTCATTCCAATGTCAGAAGAGGAACCAGAGGTAACTGAGTCACAGCCTGAGCTCTGGCCAATCAGAGAGGAGCAGGTGGCTGGTGCTGCAGTGAGAGGAGGATGCACAGGGCGGAGGGGAGCCTGGCCCTCCTGCATGGCCACACTTCTCACGATTCTGTGCAAGCCCCAGCAGCGAGTGGGGCCCTGCAGCTTCCTGGTTCTGGGGCGCTGCCCTGTGTGGAGGTGCTAGCAGGGCCAGGGAGGGCTGCTGGCCTTGGGGTTACTGGGAGAATGGGGAAGGCTGTGCTGGAGGACTAGCAGCCTGAGGGGTTCGGCCTGTCCCTGTGGGTGTGACCATATCCTTGCTGACTTGGCCTCAGGACGAAGATGCAGTCCCCCCAGGCATGGAGAGCCTCATTAGCGCCCCACTGGTCAAGACCTCGGAAAAGGAAGAGGAGCAGGTGGGCCTCTGGGGTGGCCCCTCAGAACTCGGAGGCCCTACCCTCCAGGTGGTATTTGGGGGGAAGGGGCTGGACACTCTGACTCCTGACCCGCTGCCCCTGCCAGGACCTCATCATGCACAGCAAGTGCCAGCGGCTCTTCCGCTCTCCGTCCATGCCCTGCAGCGTGATCCGGCCCATCCTCAAGAGGCTGGAGCGGCCCCAGGACAGGGACCTGCCCATACAGAACAAGCGGAGGAGGAGTGTAACCCCTCCAGAGGAGCAGCGGGAGGCCGAGGAACCTGTGAGTGCCCTCTCCTGGGGCAGCGCTGGGCTGCCACCCTCCAAGTCCACTCTGCAAGCCCTTCTTGGCCGGGTTTGTGGCAGAGGGCACGGTGCAGGGAAGAGGGGGTACCAGCCAGCCAGGGTACTGAGGGGCAGCCTCACCCCTGACCCTGGCCACCATCTGCCTCACAGAAAGCCCGCGTTCTCCGCTCAAAGTCCTTGTGTCACGATGAGATCGAGAACATCCTGGACAGTGACCACCGTGAACTGATCGGGGATTACTCCAAGGTACCAGCAGTGGGACCCTCAGGAGGCTCAATCCCTTTCTGACTGTGGCCCCCGAGCCCAGCCTCTGCTTTGGCACCTCCCTCTCTCCTCAGGGGCCACCTTCACTTTGTCCTTTGCATCTTATCATCCTTTATTCTCACCTCGACTCCTCTCTCTGGCTCTCCTTGGTCTCCTGACTCCACCTCAAATCTGTCCAGGACATCAGTTGTATCTGAACCTTGGAAAACATTTCCAAACTAACATCCAGCTTGGAAACTCCTTGGGCCTCATTCCCAGGCTTGGCAGAGTGTGGGGGCAGGAAGCAGGGAGTTCATCTCTTCTGCTCCCCTTCTTCATTTCCCCTTGGAAGGTTGTTCCCTGGGTATCAGATCCAAGAGGTGCCTCATGGTTGCTATGTGAACCAGAGCTGAATTTGAAGGTCAAAGCAAGTGTGGCCTCTGGGCTTAGGAATGAAATTCCATCTTTTCCAGGCTCCTAGTTTTCCCAATTTCACTTTCTTTCTCAATCTCTCTCTGCCTGCTTCCTTTCAGGCCTTCCTCCTACAGACTGTGGATGGAAAGCACCAAGACCTCAAGTACATCTCGCCAGAAACGGTATGTGGGCATGAGCCAGTCTCTGGGCACATGTGAGACTGCTGTTTGCCTGTTAACCTTCCCTGGGGATGGGCTTTGAGCACTGGGTCAGCTGTAGGGTTAGGGGCCAGCTCCTGCCTGCCAGCTTGACCTGCTAGGACCCCCCTCCGTGGCCTCCTATAGATGGTGGCCCTGTTGATGGGCAAGTTCAGCAACATCGTGGAAAGGTTTCTGATTGTGGACTGCAGATACCCGTACGAGTATGAAGGTGGGCACATCAAGGTGAGGCGGGGTGATGGGGAGAGGCCCTGAAGGACCACCCCATTCTATCCTTTCTGTACTGGGAGGCTGAATTGGTGGATGGCGGGTGCACCCTCTCCTGGGGAAGGATCCTGCCCAGTAAGAGGTGGGGTCACCCATCTGAAAGTTGGGGACTGCATAGGAGAGTGGTCTGCCGCCCAGGCCCAGGGCTGTGGCCTGACCTCTGGCTCCTCTGGCAGACTGCTGTGAACCTGCCCCTGGAACGGGATGCTGAGACCTTCCTGCTGCAGAGCCCCATCACTCCCTGTAGCCTGGACAAGAGAATCATCCTCATTTTCCACTGTGAATTCTCATCTGAGCGCGGGCCCCGCATGTGAGTCCCAGCTCCACCCAGCCTGCTCCTGACCTTCCCCAGGCTTGCGGGTGCTGGAGCCATCCTATGGCCAAGAGGCCCAAGCCCAGCACCCCACTCCTTTGCCTGGGCCTCTTGTCTCATCTGACGGCCTGGAGTGGACCTTACCCCGCTTCCCTGTGCATGGCACCCTCCTCCTGTCTGCCTCTCACCGTCCTCATCAGGCTTCACATCCACCCTCCGTCCATTGCCGCTGCCCCCACAAAATCTGGTTCCAAGTTTCCAGCAGTGTCCTTAAAATCCAAGGGCCCTGTCCCAGTCCTCATGACACAGACCCTCCAGGGTTCAATTGTCCCTTCCTCTCCCCACATCATCCTCACCAGGTATTGTGCAGATCTCCTGCATGTATCTCCTTAATTTTATCCACTTCTCTCCTTTCTGCTTCCCCTTCCCCTGTCCAGGCCAGATATCTCTAACAAAGATTGTGCAACTGCCTCCTAGAAACAGAGAGCCCCTTGATTTGCCTCCTTCCTTCCACTTCCCTAACCTCTTCTGTACCCTGTAGCCAGATATCTAAAAGTGTTCTTGTTGCTGACATTCCTGCACTCAAAAGCCTGCTGTGGCTCCCCAAGGCCCTCAAAGGAGTGGGCACAGGGAGCAGGTCCCCTGAGGGACACCCCACTGCATGCCCAGCTCTTACCCCCACACCCCTGCTGGTCCCAGGTGCCGTTTCATCAGGGAACGAGACCGTGCAGCCAACGACTACCCCAGCCTCTACTATCCTGAGATGTATATCCTCAAAGGCGGCTACAAGGAGTTCTTCCCACAGCACCCGGTACCAGGGGTGGGGTTGGCCACAACCTCCGTGGGAGGGTTGGACTGTGGGGAAAGGGCTCAGCCAGGCAGTAGCCCTCAGAGAAGGAGAAGGGAGGGCTGGGTCCCCCCAGAGTTACCCATGGCCCATGTTGACTGACCCCTGCCATCCTGCCCTAGACGTTCTGTGAACCCCAGGACTACCGGCCCATGAACCACGAGGCCTTCAAGGACGAGCTGAAGACCTTCCGCCTCAAGACGCGCAGCTGGGCCGGGGAGCGGAGCCGGCGGGAGCTCTGCAGCCGCCTGCAGGACCAGTGAGGGACTGGCGACTGTCCCGCCTGCCTCCCTTGCCTCGCGTGGCCTGGGCGCCAGCTGCCCAGTGGCCCGCAGGGCTGAGGGTCTGCTGGAGGCCCCAGGTGCTGTCCAGGGGAACGACGGCGAGGGTGTCCTGTCTGTCTGTCCCTCGGCCCATCCCCTGTCTCTCTCCAATCATACTCCATATCCTGGTGCTCCCCCCTCTACCCCCATCCCTGGAAGAGCCCAGCCTGTTGACTTAGTGAAATTGGATTAAGTCTAGCTCAAAGGAAGCATTTTGTGTCCAGCAGGAGGCTTTTTGCTTTTTTTCTTCCTTGTTTGGGTTAACCCTTTGTCTTCCTGTGTCCAGAAAGCCCCCTTTTTTCCCAGGGGCTTTGTTTGTATGTATGAGGCTGGGGGAAAGCCTCAGCCCCCCCAAGAGGGGCCAAAGCTGCGCTGCTCCCTGCCCTGGGAGTCAGCCCTGTGCCGGGCCCTCTGCAGGTCTCCTGGGGGTGTCTGCCGAGTTCCCTCTTGTCCCCTCCTTCCTGTCCCTCCACACCAACTTCCTGCGCACACGTAAGCTCTTACTCTTTCCTGTTTCAGTGTTACCTGCTTGATTTGTTGGTCTGATTTTTGCCATCTCAGGACATTCACAGGCTGAGGTTTAGGTTCCCCCTGTCCAGTTGGGGTTGGAGGTTCAAACATTAATTACTCAAGTGGCCCTGGCTTCTTTGCCTCAGAAAGGGATGTTGTTATCTTCGGGAGCCCTGGGTGAGGGCCAAGGCATGCACCCGCTGGAAGCCCGGCCCCAGTGCTGTGAATGCTGGGGCCTGGTCAGAACTTGCTGCTGTCTTGTTGCGGATGGACAGATGGACAAATGGATGGATGGTTGGATGGATGGCCATGGATGCACAAAAACGCCTTGTACACACAAACCACCGAGTGGAAGCATGTCAGTGAGCATGACAGCCTGCTCTGTGTGGACAAAATCTTTACACTTTAAGGTTTGGAAATATTCAAGAGGAAATGTCATGGAAGCAGCTAAACCAAGGACAGAGCCACCTTTGGATTTTGAATCTCAGGATGTGGGAAGGGCTGTGTGGAAGCCCTGATGAGTCATCTGCGAGGGCTTTGTTTCAATAAAGCACTGAGCAAGTTGAGTAACCAGCGTCTTGTCCTGCAAGGCCATGGTAGGCCCTGATGGAGGGATAGGGTGAGGGGCAGGTCAGTGGATTGGGGCTGCAAGACTCCTGGGGAGGTGGCCTCATGCTCTCTTCCAAGTCTTGCCCAGATTTTGGATTCAGCCTCCCTCTTCCCCTCATCTGGCGCTCAAGCACCTCTGGCTGGGCTCACCCTTCCTAAACTCTGCACCAAGAAGGCAAGAGTGCTGCCATCACTCCTCTCCTCTAGAATTGTCAATGGCTCCCCATTGCCCTCTCCTGGTACAGCCCTTGAGGGCCTGGGCCCTCCCCAGCCTCACTCCTCACATCTTGCTGAATCAAACCCCCTACACTTTGCTCTTCACATTTCTTTGCCTTTGCAGCTGCTGTATTATCCTCGGGAGTGCTGTCCCCCATCTGTTATTCCTTTAAGATTAGATTTCAAATGTTACCTCCTCCCAGAAGCCTTCCTGCCCTGTCAGGGAAATGGCTTTCCTTTCAGTATCCCCAGAACCCAGCAGAGGTTCCACCACCTAGGAGATGCTGAGTTCAAGATCAAGAGAGTGGGAAACGGCCAGTCTGGGAGAACTGGTCCTGGGCCCAAACATAGCGTCTCAGGAAATCCCCTCAGAACACCACTGCAGATAAGCAGATGACCCTCTGCCCTCCAAATGTCAGCTGTCTGTGATTGTGAGGATACCTTTGCAAATGTAAAAATCTGATGCTGCCTGATAGGGTGCACACAGGTCAGGCATCATTCCCACTTTCTGTCAAAGTTCATCTACCTTCTGAAGTACGTGCTGCAGTGATTATTCACTCCATTTCGCAGATGGGAAAATGAAGGCTATTTCTTACCAGAGCAACAGGAAGGGACTCCAGATTCCCAGGCTGAGTCTAAAGGACACCTCCCTGTCTCCAGCTTGTCCCTCAAGTTTCTTATGCCTGAAGCATTGGTCTCCACTCCTGATCCAGAGCCCCCTGCAAGGGCACAACGTGTCGGGGGTGGTAGGGTGTAGTTTTGATGGTCTGAGGGCTGGGCCTCTGCTCAGGGAGGGAGGGGCCCTGAAAGCTCCAGAAGCCCCCTTCCACTGCGCAGGCAGCTGACACAAAGGCCAGCATTTATTTGGGTGACCGGACTTGCCCCAGAAAAGGGAAAACAGATGTGCAGACCCCTGAGACAGAGAAATGGGAGGAGAGAGCCCTGGGCACTGTCATGTTGAGACTTGCCTGCTACACCGAGTATTCAAGTGGTCTCGTGACCCCCTCCCCCTTCCTGGTTTTACAGAGGAGGAAGGCAGCTGGATGCTCAGAGAGGGCCCTCACTTGACCCAGGTCACACAACAGATACAAGCAGAGCAGGCATTCTAGTGCCCAGGACTCTCCCACTCCTCACCCCCCAGCCCTTGGACCCAGAGCAGCCAAGGGGGTGGGGCTAGGCTGCCTGGCTTCTGCTCTGAGTGTCCACTTGCTACTCCATCAATCTGGACCAGGCCACATGGGGAGGAGGGAGCAATGAGTGCTGAGCGTCTGACAATGCCCAGGCTGCGTGCCAGGTGCTGACATCTGAGGCCACGCCTGACCCCCATAACCCACCGTCAGAGTTGTAGCTGCAGTCATGGGGCACTGAGTCTGCTCCAGACACTTTTACATATTGTCTCCTAGGCCTCCCAGGTCAGTTTTCCGCTCATTTTGCAAGGGAAACGGAGGAGAAGGGCAGGGAAGGTGCCGTGGTCAAGCCAGACGACAACTCTTCCCCAAGAGAAGGCCCTGGTGATGACATCTACTCTGAGGGAGGCATGGCCGCCAAGGGTTCACCTCTCCAACTCAGGCCAGGACACCCTCTGCCCCTGGGAAGTTCAGGGTATGGGGCAGAGGCGACCCAATCCTCCTTCCCCTCAGCAAGAGAACTGTCTTCTTTGATGCTCACAGAGAGGAGAGCGGCTCAGGCGAGGAAGCTGTTTAAAATCCTGGGCTGCCAGCCAGTTTTAAAGGTTGTTTTGCTCAGGCCAGGGCGGGGCAGGCAGGCATTCCAGCCAGCTGAGGAGCCTGGGAGCAGCCACGTGCAGCCAGCTCACGTGGTTAAAGAGCTGCATGGGGTGGGGCACAGCGGGCAGCTGGCCTGTGCCAAGCCTGGCCAAGTCAGCAGGCACCAGTGGGGTCTGGGCATTGTCTGAATTGCTCACTGAGTAACTTTCAGTGACAATTTTAAGAAATAATGTTTTCTTTCTTTCTTTTTTTTTTTGTGAGGAAGATCAGCCCTGAGCTAACATCTGATGCCAATCCTCCTCTTTTTTCTGAGGAAGACTGGCCCTGAGCTAACATCCGTGCCCATCTTCCTCTACTTTATATGCGACGCTGCCACAGCATGGCTCGACAAGCAGTGCGTTGGTGCCCGCCCAGGATCCGAACTGGCGAACCCTGGGCCGCCACAGTGGAGCGCAGGCATTTAACCGCTTGCGCCAGGCTGGTCCCAATGTTTTCTTTTTAAATTGAGGAATAATCAACATTTCATCAAGGACACACATCTTAAGTATAGGGCACAGACCTGAGGAACTACCACACAGCTCAAGATACAGGACATTTCTTGCATCCCAGGAGGCTCCTTCACGCTCCCTCCCGGGTACCCGCGTTCCACAGGTCACCACTATCCTGACCTCTCTCGTGGTACGTTAGTTTCTCCCGTTCTTGAACTTCCATACATGAAACCATACAGTTCGTTCTCTTCTGCATCTGGCTTCTTTCATTCAGCATAAGGATTTCGAGATCCATCCATTTTCCTATAGCAGTAGTTTATTCTAGTTCATTGCCGTATGTCCCTTATATGGACATACTCCTAAACTGAATTAGTCATTCTATTCTTTTTGCTTCTAGTTTTTAAATTAAAAAAATTAAGGTACAATTTATATGCAGCAAAATACACCCTTTTGAGTGTACAGTTCTGAGAGTTTTGACAAATGCATACCACCACCATAATCAAGATAGACAACATTTTCATTCTGCCCTTGGTGGATTATTTGGGACTATTTCAAATTGTACTGGGAACATACCCAGGAGTAGAATTGCTAGGTGCAGTGTCTATGTTCAGCTTTAGAAATGTCCACAGTTCTCCAAGGTTGCTATTCCAACTTACCTTTCCACCAGCAGTGTCTGAGAGCCGTGTTGCTCCACATTCTCATCAAAATTAGTAAATTTTAATTTCTCTCTCTTAGCCAGAAAATTTGATTGTCATATACAGCAAAGGGCTCTGTTAACTGTCAAGTGCTGAGCCTACGTGCCCTGATGTGGCAGGAGCAGGGGTTCACGCACCTTGACCCAGCCTGGGGTCTGACTCTCCTACATCGAAATATTAGTCCTAATTTTTTCCTTAAGTCAGATTCTTAAGAAAGTTAAAGTGACTCTTTGGAGTTAACTGGCTGTATGTCACTGGCTTGCGTCCCTCCACTGACGACAGCTCATGACCATCTAGAAACTTATGATTTCTAAGAAGTCTTTATCCTTGGAATTGAACACACAGGCACCCTCCTTTCCAGAGGTAATGAAACTGTTGATGGTGCAGAAAGGAAGGATGTTTAGACAAGGAGGTCCACGGCCACGTGGAATCTGGAAACAATCGGGAGAGGGAAGTTGAGTAAGGATGGAGAAGTTGCTGTTGTGCAGCCATGAAAGTCACGCCTTGAGAGAATGCTAGATGACATGGAGTTATCCACAGTCTATTGTCCAAAGACAGTTGGTTATGGGACAGAAGGCAAGAAGCATTCCCACCCAACCCACCAGGGCGTTTGTGCGGGTGCCAGGAGTGCCGCAGGGGTTGCCTCCGCCCCACCCAGCCTACACCCCACACCAGCACACACACCCCTCGGAGGGGGTGGTGACCGCAGCTGCCAGGCTCTGAGTCAGCGGGGCCTGGGGCAGCGGGAGGGGAAGGGGCCTCACGTGGCTGGGCCTGAGCTGCCTCGTGGGGCCTCCTGGCTCTCAGCCCTGCAGGAAGCGTGGCTGTTTGAAAGGACGAATCACACACGGCCTCATGCTCCTGGGGCCCAGCCAAGACTACTTCCATGGGGTCTGGGGCTCCCTGACGGGAGGGTGGGGGGGGCCTCCCGGGTTGGGATTGGGAGCACTGGGGAATGAGGTCATCCAATTGGGCTGG